GGCCTCTGACACTGTTTCCCACCACATGCTCTTACAAAACAACAACTAGGTGACTGTGACATTGATGCGTACGCAGTCAGATGGGTGGCAAATTGGCTGGATGGTCGCACCCAGAGAGTGGTGGTGAAGGCTTTACGTATAGGGTTACTAGAAAGCAGGGCTGGAAGAGACCTCATGAGATCAAGGCAGGATCATCCCTGACTAAATCATTCCAGCCAAGGGTCTGTCCAACCTGCTCTTGAAAACTTGCAGCTACCTCCTTGGAAGATTTTTAAGGGGCGAAACGGGGCAGCAGCAGGTCTCAGTGGAGTAAGAGAAAGATGTGGTGTTGCATGAAGTCTCTAAGCTGATGGACCTCATTAAGGTTCCAGTTCTGGGCACTGATGCAGGGGTGATGCGGTGAGGCGCTCTGGCTTTTGAGCAGCGGCATTGATTCGGTGGCTCTGGTGGTCCCTCCAGGCTTGAAATGCATCCTTTGATAAGCACTTAGCTTAGGCCTGGCCCCTAGTGAGAAGGCCAGATCCTAGTAGGGCACACTTGCAGCTGCATACTGGCTCTTATGCTGCTGCCCCCACTCTTCCAGCCAGCCCAAGCTCTATTGCAATGAGTCCTCTTCAACTAATCCAGCTGAGTTGGCCAAAGCTTTTACCAGTAGAGCTCTGTTGGCAAAACTGAAATGTAGATGAGGCTTACATCTTAGAGGTGATGATGGCTTCAAGTTTATGTTCATACCTTCCCTTCATCCCTGGAGCAGCAGGCGTGGGGGTGAAGAGATCGGATTAAACCTCAGGGCAAGGCCAGTGGCAGAGCTGCGATCGAATGCAAGTGGCCCTGGCTCGCTGCTGGGTGCTGCTCCAGGTGAAGCTCAGCATGGTGGGTCTTGCCCCTTTCTAATTAGAGAAGCCATTTCATCTGCCTGAAATAACTTCAGGGATTATTCCTCTCAGTGCAGCTCTTGTTGTCAGGGATAATAGCCCTGCAGAGGACTGAAATGATAGCCACAATACTCTGGCCAGCTGTGAAACAGCTGTGCTCCTCCTTGATTATTCTTTAAATAAAAATAATAGCAGTAAATCCTGGTGACCTGATTAACAAATCCTTGCGCCCTCAGATGCTGCAGCCATCCTTACCGCTCCCTGGGGCTGGGCTATCCACTCGGCTGGCTTGTAGAGCCTGCTTCACTAATGCAGCCTGGAGCAGAGGGCCATAGGGCAGGAGTCCTTCGAGGTCTAGAGCAATGCCCCAGGAGCTACTTTGTCTATCTAGGGCTAAGCCCAGCCATGCAACAAGGACGGGTATGTGCTTGCTGCAAGTCTGGTGAGGAGAGATGTGTTATTGTGCTCCTGGAGCGAACATGGGAACAGACCAAGCGCATGGGACAGAAGATTTTTTCTTGTGGCTCTGACCCCTTGGACCTCACTGCTCTCAACGGCTTCCAGCTATCCAAAGGCTTGGGACTGTTGGCCTCCAAGTAAAGGAGGGCCAGCAGGGATGCACTTCGGAAACTCTCTTGCCTTGTAAGTGAACACTTCGGCAGGGCAGGGAGCTCAGATTAAGTTGGATGGGCTGGGTCTGCCTTTTAAAGCCCCAAAGGATATCAGGGGTTTCATCTGCATGAAGAGGGGCTGTGTGCAAACTAGGAATCTAGGTTCTGGGCTTTTTCACGATACGCACTTCAAATAGGCAACACCGCTTACCTGCACCTCTGCCCCTCCTGGCTGCAGCGTCGCACCAGTTCCTCTGGCAAAGAGCTGGGCTGCCAAGTAAGGGGTGCAGCCAGCAGCACCGATCAGCACCACTGCAGTTGCAGCAGCCTCTCCTTTAGCACAGGTTGTGCTATGGACTAGTGGAGCTGCCTTCTGTTCCTTCCTGGGGCCATAAATTCTGTGCACTTGCGGCCTGCCGTCAACAGCCATATAATGTATGTAGCAATGGACCTTTTTAGGACCCTTCCCTTCCCCGTGTCCTCCTAGACATAAATATGCCTCCTAGACAGCATTATCTGCCTGCACAATAGCAATGACTTCATTACCTCTGAATAATAATAATATGTTTCTTCTGGTTGATGGAGGAGCTGACATTGCAGGGCATGGACATTATATTGAGCTCTGCAGTAATTCAATTGCTCTTTGTTTGCATTTAATAGCTCTCCTGCTCTTTGCAGCTGGCTTTTTTCAAAATGGGGCTTAATAATATATGTCTTTGCAGTGCACCGCTGTGAAAGAGCTTTCTGAAATCTGGGTAGGGTTCCCCTGCTTGCATCTGGGCCTGGTCTCGGTTCAGCATTGTTGGAGGAAGCTGCTTGTTCATTGTTTGTGCTCTAGACTGTGTAGTGATGACTTATGCTTCAAAACTTAATATGAGAAAGATGAGGGGCTGCATGTAGGATCTTGGGGGTGCTGGGCATCTCCGAGTCCTGTGCTCTTCCAGCTGGTTTAGGATGCTGGCAAATCTTCTTAAGACTTCTGCTGGCTCCTGGTAAAGGGAGATGAGAACGCGCTGCACACTGCTGTGGGGTGGGGGGTAAATGACCCAGGGCAGTAATCATTGAATAGAGAGCCCGCTCTCTGCTGAACCTCTTCCTTGAATCCACCTCCCTGAAATGACCCAAATAGTGGAAACTTGTACTGTCCAGTTATCTGCTGAGCTAGGCAGGATATGGGGGGGGGTGGGCAAAATAAGTGCTCTGAGTCTGAGCCTCTTGCCTATATGGTGGCCTGGGGAAAGGGCATGCCTGTGCCCTGGCACTATGCTTTGACCAGGGAGATAATGGGTCTAAGTGCCGTTTGTGATTTGGCTGCTACCTCATTTTACATGGTCCTGAGCCAGTCCCTTTCCTAAGCGCAGGTCCCCATCTCTGGCATGTTGACCCTCCTGCGTGAAGCCCTTGGAGGGGTCTACGTATGAAGTGGAGTTTCCATATCAACTGAGGAAGGTGCCTCTAAAGGTGATGGGAATTTGTTCATTCAGGCCCAGTCAATCCTCCTTGTGCCTGGAGACTTGCAAGTCTATGGAGTGAGCATTGAAACCCCCTCCACGGTCAGCCCCTGGCTTTGGGGTTGGAGCTGTGGGCCCAGGAAAGGCTCTCTTACCCCATTGCCAGGGCCCTGAGCAGGCCGTCCCTCTCCCTGGAGCTGCGCTGGTTCCTGCAGTGGCACAAAACAAGTACTGGAGTGGCTGCCAGCTGGGCCTGCCAGAGGGGCAAACAGGGGATAACTGCCTTGCATTTCTCCCTGGGGCCAAGAATCCTGCAAAGCTATTGAATTGACTGTCCTAAATATACACTTAACTGTGGCTCTCGTTTAGATGTAATAGGATGAGGCTTCTACACCGCAGGCCTACAAACTCATTAAACGGCTATTCATTGAACCGCCATAATTTAGCCACAGCCTGGCTCACCAGGATGTCATAATTACTCAATGTTTGTTCAGTACTCAGCTGCTTTTCTATTAAATCAAGTCTCCCGCAAGATGTTTCTCATGCTATTGTGCTACCTTGGTGGTGGTGTGGAGGGAGGGGGTTTTCCAATGGCACCGCAAGGGCTTTATTCGTTTTGGGTACTTACCATGGTGCTAGGAGCCAGATATCTGAGCAGCTCCATAATCTGTAATGTATTGACCCCTCTCGGGGTGGGCAGGGCTATTGTCCCCCTTTATACAGATGGGGAGCTGAGACATGGAAAGGTTAAGTGACTTGTCCAAGGTTGTATGGGAAGTCGGTGTCAGAGCAGAAGTCTGAACCCGAGTCAGCTGCTCCCTAGAAACTCCCAGGGGTCTCGTTGATATGTGGAGGCTCACTCGGCTTGGCCCATGGTAGGCTGAGGCCATGTCAGAGCGTCTTTCAATGCCATGTTATGACCACAGCGGGAGACGGTTCGTTGTACCTCTGCGCTGTGCTGGGGTGACGCATGCAGAGGATGGCCCTGCTCCTACCTAGCTAATAGCTCTGGACTCCTCTGTGGGAGGGAGGCCCCTGGAGCCCAGCAGCAAGGCAGGAGCTGAAGGACTTGGCTTGTTGCAGATGGGTGAAGGGGTGCCTTGGCTTGCAAAAGGCTCCTGAAGCCCAGGCGTTTCCCCCTCAGCACCGCAAGACTAGAACTATGTGAGGTCTGTAATCCAGATGGCCAAGACTAGATGGAAATAAAGCCCTGGGGTCAGATTTTAGCTGGCCTGCTCTAGCGGGGTGACAAAGGGCAGCCACGGCAGCTGCCGCTGAGCATTGCAGAGAGGGCAAGGGATCGGGAGCCCCTGTGAGCTCCAGGGATGCGCCAGGGGTTGTGTCACGGTAGCAGCCTGGTACAAAGCCGTTCATGTCATATCTGAAAGTTTTCCATCAGCTTTTGTCAGTACAGCACTACCTGTCTCACGGAGACAGAGGTGTGTGCCCCAGCACAGTCGCCTATGCAGACAGCCTGGCACGTGGGCACTGTGCACCTGCTCCAGCACCTCCAGAAGCAAAGCTCCTCTCTGCTCTGCCCTCCCCAGCTGCTTTTCTGCTCCTTCTCGTCCCTCGTCCCCCAGCAGTGCTCCTGGATCAGCTGTCTTGCTCCTGCAGACTACTGGTACTGGCTCCAGCCAACCCATGTCCTTTTCTTTGCTGTTCTAGTATGGATCAGTAGAGGGTAGCATCGCCTTAGAAATCAGGTAGAAGAAGGCTGCTGCAAGGAGGGTGATATTTCTGCACCCTGGCCGCAGGCATTGCAGGGGTGGCAAGGAGCATGCAGAGCGGAGGATGCAAAGTCCTGGAGTCTGCTCCTTCCAGGCTGATTGCATCTTGCATTTCTGGCTTTGTGTAGCCTGGGCTCTGAGGCTGCACCTGCAGCCTGCTGGGTCACGTGCTTGCATCTTGTCATCTCTCTGAGCCACATGCAGATAAGATTTGAATGTGCAGAGCAGCTCCAATGCAGTTTGTGATTGGACCCATCTGTGCCCGTTGGCACCAGCCTGAATCCCTGCTCAGACCTTGGGCAGCTGGGTAACTCTGCCTTGTCTGCCCCTGCCCGTGCTTCTTGCTCATGGTTTGCTGCCTGATTTTTGCAGATGCTGGGGCAGTGTATTGAAGGAGCCTTATGCCACTGGAGCGGGTCACAGGGACCTCTGTTGGCAGGTGGGGTCTGCAAACGGCATCACTGGCTGCACCCCATCTTCTGCAAAATCGGGAATTAGGCCAAATACAGCTTCTCCACCCCCGGCCTGGAACCAGAGATCACACATGCTCTGTGTGAGGTCCTTGTTCCAGCCCCACTATGTTACAACCAGGACATCCAGAAAACCTACTGGTTAAGGATGGAGCAGAGATGAGAACCTCCCTCTCTGGGTCAGGGAAACCTAGGAGTCCTGGCAGACTCGCTGGGGAGCCGAATGCAAGCATCCCTATGATGGCAATCTTGCTGGGATCATAGATTCATAAAAGCTGCCTCACCTTGCCAAGCCCTCCCCAGCGGTAAGAGTGGAAGGGGCTTTTCTCCCAGGCCTGCTGTCAGGAGGCCCCTCCACCACCACACAGCCATGGTCTCATGCAAAAGGATGCCCCTCTTCCCCATCCCCCTCATAACCAGTGATTTGTGGGTCCTGAGCTATGGGAAGGCAGGTAGGGTGTTCCCTTCCCAACCCTGGGAGAAGAGAAGCATCCCCTGAGACTCAAGCTGGGGAAGGAGAGCGGCAGAGGGATGGATTATGGGAGGAAGCGGAGGCTGGGAGGTGGGATGGGTTCGGGTAAGGGTGAAGGACCACAGCCCAGCAGGGAGACCCCCCTCTCCCACCAGAAGCTGTCAGGAGGCCAGGCTGTCACAACCACTTGGACAGACAGGTCCCCAAAAGGCTCCTAGTTAGCTATGAAGCTAAATGGGAAACAAATGCTTTAATTGAGGCGAAAATAATAGTAATTAGCATGAGCAAATCCAATTAGGAGCTGTCAGCAGGTTACCTTGGGCCTGTCATTGGGAGCGCAGCGGCACGGGTGATGCACAATGCGGTCCTGCGGCCCACGTCCTAGAAACAGCGGGAAACAGGGCCACGGGCTACATCCTGCCCCCGGGGGATGCCCTTCATTAGCAGCGCCCCCTCCTCGGAGCAGGCGGACGAGGCTCGTCGCCCCGATTCCAGCACCTAATTAGGGCAACGAAGCAGATTTGTCCATTCCGGTTTGGTGGGGAGGTGCATCGCTGGCGACCCGGGCCGCAACTGGAGGGAAGGCAAGTAAAGCAGCGACGGCTCCCAATGAGCAGCTTCACTGCCAAACGCTGTCACCGGTGGCACCGGCTGCCTGTGATGTCCACTCCCCCGCCAGCCCCCAAGACAGTGTCACAAAGAGGCTCACCTACCTTCTCAGCCCTCCTGGGTCAAGACTCAGTCCAGCCTCAGCCTTTGCAGCCAGAAGCCTGGGCTTTCTCCATTGCTGCCATTCTCTCTCAAAGGGCAAACAGCCCCAAAGGCTTCTGAGCACCAGCTACCGCTCGCCGGGCTCTTCGTGCTGGGCCTTCATGGCAAATAGGCAGGTGCTCTGCACGCGGGCAGGCCGTGCAGGAGGAGTGGGCTCTGCTGGGATACATTGGCTCCAGCTGCTGTTCCAGAGGGACAGCGTCCAGAGCAGAAAAACCTTCTGGATGAATAGTCGATGTGCCAAAAAGTGCAGTTGGAGGGCAAGAGAGAAACTATTTGCAGCATTGGGGAAATAGTTTGGGGTGAAAAACAAACTTTGGAGAAGTTGAAACTGTTTCACCCCTTCTGGTGTCTCCATGCTTCTGGGCTTTCCCATTTCTGTTCAATGTGTCAGGGTGTTTTTATACCTCCCTCAGAGGTATTGGATATTGGCTACAGCCAAGGCTGGGGATTATGACTGGTCTGTGCCCACGCTTCTGCTGGGACCAAAGCTGGAGTTTCCTGGCTGGACAGTCTTGCCTCCTCCACTCGGGGTCAGATCAACCCTATATTTGGGGTCAGGAAGGAAATTTATCCCATGGTCAAATTGGTACAGACTGGGGGGGTATGGCCCTCTGCCTGGGATCTCTTGGGTATATACTGACAACCTTTCATAGAAGCAGGACATTAATTAATGTGGTCCCCTGGCCTTACCTGCAGCAGGTTCGGATGCGATGTTGTGTATTGGGGCACGGCTGACGGTAGTTAAGAGATTAGATTATGGCCTGTGCAGGGTGGTTTGGATACGGCTCATCCTGCCTCAGGCAGGGGGTTGGACTCGGTGACCTCCGGACGTCCCTTCCAGCCCCGCTTCTCTACGATTCTGTGATTTGAAATGCAGGGTTTTGCTGCTTGCCAAATTTGTATTTTGAGGCTAAATGCAGGTATAAAAATAATAAATGAAACTCCTATGAAAAGTAAACCTCCTTCCTCCTTCACCCTTGCCAGAATGAACCCAATGTGGGAACAAAACCTCCCTGGAGTTTTTGTTTGTCAATAAAATGGAAACTTTTTCTTTTCAGGTTGACCAGGAACCGATTTGTTTTCCAGTTTGGCCACTGACCCAAACCCCTCACCCCTTGGCACTGCTCTGGCAGTCCCTCCTGACAGCACGTGGGATGTGCTGGTCTAAGCAACGTGAAAGCCAGCCCACGCCATCCTCAGTCGGTCCCTCGACGTAGCCCCTATGCACTCAGCAGTTACTACCTCGCTTGGTGAGAGCCCCCTTGGCAGAAGCAGGAAGTTCCTGAGGTCTTGTGAGAAGTCCTCATTCCTACGAGATGCCCATTGAGATGGCACTGGTGCCAGGAGCAGCCTCTCTGCACCCTATGTGGGAAGAAGGACTGGTTCCTACATAGGTTGAGCCAGCAGGACAAACTGTCCTTGAAGGCACGCTGAGCAAGAGCGAAAGGCTTGGCGCCCGCAACAGTGTCCGTGATTCCAGAGGGCGGCATCCTGCTGAGAAGGAAGGTGGATGTTTTCTGGGTGGGTGAGACGGTTGCCCTGACCGAACCGTCTGCCGCAAGCCAGATGCGGCATCCTGATCCAGGCAGGCTGGCTGGCACGAGCGGCAGGGCCCTCCCCTGTGCGCTGCATCTTGCTGCGTTGAGCCAGCTGTTGTGGGAAGTCCTGGGAGGTTTGTGCCTGCCCTGCACAAAGGCAAGGCAAGGAGGCTGCGGAGGACTCGGAGAAGCACCAGGCAGTTGGGAGGACGGCGCGACAAAGCCAGAGAAGGGGGTGCCTCGTGCACGGCTCACGCAGCAGCTGGAAAGCAGGTGTTGGCCAAAATGTGAGTTTTAGACCTCTGCACGTCCCAGCCTGGTGCCCCTCGCACCCAACCTGCTTCCTCACTCGGGTCAATTTGAGAACAGTTGCTTTTCTGGTGCACTCAGCCAGGCCCCCGTCAGACTCTGGGATGAATAGGATTTCATCCTGGAGACCAGTGCCCTTGCCAGGGAGCCTGTCCTTGTCGCTGAGAAGGCCGTGCCCATGGAGGCGGCACTGGCCCCATGCAGCTGTGGTGATGTCTCCACTGCAGCATCACCCAGTGGTGCGGGTTAAATTTGGCCAGATGCATCTAATTTGCCGGCCTCCAGCTCTATAAGGGACACAAGTCGGGTATCCCAGGAGCAAGCAATGGGCATGATGCAGGCTGGCAGAGGCTGGGCTTCGTGCCAGGGCTGCTGGGAGGTGGCAGCAGTTTTGTCAGGCACTAGCTGCTCCTGTCCCATCAGGCTGATGCTTTCCCATCGGCAGGTCCAGGAGAATCTGCTTCAGCGTAGGGGGGAGAGGGGGCCCTCTGCATCCAAGAGAGAGGGGAGGACATGGACACCGTGGTCGAGCTGGGGATGCTCTCCCAAAGGCCACAGGATCCTGCTAACACTCTGGAGCAGGGAATCACAAATGGTAGCTGTAGGCAGCCCACCCCAGCCCAGGTGAGTCCCTGGGAGGCTTTAAGCACATGGTTCAATAGGCCTTAAGCACATGGGTAAGGGATTTACTTCTAAGAGACGGTTTGGAGAATAAGAGCCACCGTGTCACGAGTAAAGGGGCTTCCAGCGCCTTGCCATGGAGAGAAGAGATGACTAGATCCCTTGCTGCGGTCCAGCCTCTTTGCGCTCACCCCCACACAGCATGCCGCTCCTTCTGTTCACTGGGCCCCCCTCTGCTTAGCACCAGGTTCCCACGTGCTTCGTCCCCACAGCCTCTTGGTAGCGGTCCAAAGAGCTGCGCATCCAATACAGGGAGCTTTTAAACCAACAAAACCTGGGCAGCTGTTCTGCCGCGGTGTGGGAGCTGAGCTCTTCTTCACTCCACCCGATGCTCGTTATTGGACCACGGCAGCATGGACTGTCCCTTGTGTGTCATTCCCCCCCTTCCTGAGCTCTGCCTGGTTGCCCGGCATATGCAGTGCAATTACCGTGGGACTTGTGTCATGCCCATGCCACCTCCCTGCCACACCCAGGACTGCCACTGAGAAATAAACCCTGCCCACTTGTGCCCACTCTGTCTGGGCCAGTCCTCTCTATAATCACCCTGCTCTCAAAGGCCACTGGCTGGAAGCTGGAGTTAGTAGAAATTTCAATCGGTGACAATAATCCAACATGGGAATGCCAGGAGAGGTGGCGGATTTGCCATTCCTCGTCCCTTTAGGATGAGCTTAGAGAGTTTGTTGGGTTTTTTTAATCTGGATTCTGGAGGAAATCTTGTGTTTTGGGATGGGGGTGCATGGTGCTGTGGTTTCTTCTGGCTTTAGAGTCTGATAAGCTCTTCATCCCTCTGCCCATTCCCTTCCTTCCTGGGTCAGGGGGAGAAGAGAGCTCTGAATTGACCTCAGCATGGTCCTATCACTCAACACGCTTCCTTGGCAAAGAGCAATGACCCTGCTCATACCTCATGCTTCAGGG